TGTGTGTGTGTGTGTGTGTGTTTCAAGACAGAGTTTCTCTGTGTAACAGTCCTGGCTGTCCTGGAACTCACTTGGTGGACCAGACTGGCCACCAGAACTCACAGAGACTCTCCTGCCCCTGCCCCTGCCCCTCGAGTGCTAGGATTAAAGGCATGTGCCACAATACCTGGCTTAAATTTGTTCAGATATCTAATTGCTAACAGAACAACTGGTTACTAGTGCTCAATAGTAAAGTGCTTCTCTAGCGCACACAGGACCCTAAATCTGACCTCCCTATATTGGAGGAATACCCCAACCCCCCAGGTGGGGGAGTGGAGGCAAGCAGAGAAATTGACTTCATTATTAAAGGTAGATGTCAGCAGAGCCTCAAAGACCAGGGCTACTAGTAAGCAGATTCCATATCACTCCAAGTATTCCTCACAAAACATCTAACTCAGCAAATGACTTCACCACCTCACCAGAAGCAGTAAGTCACCTCCCATCACCACCACCCCAATCACCTACTAACTATCCAAAGCACACATTCTTCCTTAATATCAAGAAAATGGACCAATTTTTCAGACCAACCCTCTGTTCTTCAGGGATCATTCCCTACTGCAAGGCTGAAATCTATGATTAAGGGCAAGGGTCCTGGACAATTCAGGTTAGACTCAAATCCTCAATTCAATCTTGGTTCAACCACTGACTGTTATTATCTACATGTACAGAAACGTGATATAGATGCTTATCATCCAACAGATAACACCTACCACATAATGTTCTGCCATTCTAGTCTCCATAAGGCCCTCTGAGATACAGCTGTGTGTAAGTCTATCTCAGGGCTGTTCACGTCAGTAAGCAAAATTCCACAAACAATTCACTGACCCTATAGCCAAGTCTACATGATTCCACAGTCTTCTAAACTATTTTGCACCACTGCCTCCCAGGGGTGTTCTTAGGGAAATTGCAGGAGGAAAAGCATGGTGTATTTATGGACTGTTAAATTTATCTGATGGGAGTTGAGCTAGTTAAGCTGACCAGCACTAGACTGCAGGAAGTCCGTTAGAAACCATGCCTAACTCTAACCCTGGAGTGCTTTTATATTATCACTGCTCGGGTTCTCTACAATGTAGCTGGGGTTGAGGACCACTACCTCAAGAAAGGAGAAGGCACTGTGGTCCTCCAGGTAGGGGAAGAAAATCCACCTGTGCCTCCCAACACTGGACAGCCCTTGGTATTCTTCTGACATGGCATCAGAACCACTCACTCACCTCCTGGTATAGGATGGACCCACTGGAGTCCCACAGCCAGATAATGGTTTGGGAAATCCCATTTATACTTTCGATACCAAGAGCTGCCAGTTACAAAGTGTCTGGGCAGGTGTACTAATCCTCTGGATGTGCTCCTGCCTGTAGAGGGCACTGTAGTCTTAGACATGTCCTCTGTCTTGACTGCCTGCTCACACAAATGTATTTCCTTAGGTTTTCTTTCATTTTTAAATGCTTGTCATTTGAGAGTTTTGATATGTAACTGAGGATGACTTCAAACCTGCAGCGATCCTCCTGCAGCTGCTTCTTAAGTGCTGGGATTACAGGTATGTACCACCATGCCACTCTCCCCTTAGGTTTAACTTAAAAATCAATTTTTAGTTGGGGATATAGCCCAGTTGGCATAGTATTTGCCTAGCAAGCATAAAGCCCTGGGTTTGACTGCCAATGCTTCATAAATAGAGTACGGTAGCTCTTGCCTATAATAATAGCACTGGAAAAGTGGAGGCAAGATCAGAAGTTCAAGGTTACCTTCAGCTGAAGTTTGAGGTCAGCTTTAGCTAACTGAAATCTTTCTACCTCAGTAACAATAAAAATGCTAGGCACGCGGGCGGTGGTGGCGCACGCCTTTAATCCCAGCACT